AAACAGAGGCTCACAAAAGCTGGTAATTTGTCCAAAGTTAATAGCAATTACTTGACAAAATTAAGATTTAAACACAGTTGTATGATTCCTGAGCCTGAGCTCTTAACCATATATTTTAATGTTTCTTGTGTGGGTGGTGGTGAAGTTCATTTTCTTAAATTTGGCAAGAATTTCTGAAACTCTTGAAACTCCTATTTTTCAAATTTCTATTTTGAAAGCACCAAAAATAACATTACTGAATTCCAGACAGAGGAATCAGCAGGTAGAAAGGCCACAAAGCAAGATGCCTAATTTGTTTAAAGGCTCAGCAAGGGGACTAATTCCTGGAGAAAAGTAGAGGATAGAGTCAGAAATTCAGAGATGACGGGGACCAAACGATAGTCTCGTAGGCCACTACCCTGAATGCAATATAAATCTACTGAAGGTCTATAAATAAAAATGTGATGTTATCCAACTTGAATGAAATACTTTAAAAGGATTATTCTGGCTGCTATGAGAAAAATGGTGGGGTAAGAGATGATAGTTATGCCTAGAAGGAGGCAACTCCAATAATTCCAGTGAAAAACAACAGTGTCGGGGATTGGGGAGAAATCAAAGAAATGATGAAAATACTTAGATAGTAGATGTATTTTAAAGGTTAAGCCAACAGAAATCTTGAGGATTCTGTTGGATGTTTATGGAATAAAGTTTACAATAAAGAAGAAAAGCCAAGCCATAAACAAGCCACAACAAATATTTTAAAGTTACCATATCCTTACATAGCTGATTCTTTAATGGTCAAGAGACAAAGCTAATGAAATTTTTTCCACGCTGTAAATAAGACCATTAAAAAGTCACTCAGAGTAATCCTACAAGCATTTTATGAGATGTGAAATCTTCAAGAGCACTGTCTTTAAAATTACTCCAAATAAGAAGAAAAATATATTAAATATACCAATTAATCAATACCGTATTCTATGTTCTACAAAACCATACAATGGTAGCCTCATATAGGGCTAATTTTCCTCTTACATTGAAAATTTTTATGGCAATACTAAAGCTACCCAAGATAAAAGCACTCTTTAAACACTTGGAATAAAGCCTAAAGAAGAAATGTGGTGATGAAACTGAAATACAAAAAAGATTATATAAGAATTACAATCACATGAATAATCATAATGTTAATTAAACAAATCATTTAAGTTTTCTTATTCAAGTACAAACTATTTTTCAGATAAACATAAAAATTCTGATAATTTGCAAGAATGCAAAAAAAAAAAAGACAACCTCAAGACTAAAACTATAGTCATTAAATTAAACAACATTCATTGATCAATTAAGAGCGACATGCTGAATAAACTATATAACAACACACTACACAATGGAGTACTATACCTGAAAAGAACAATGAGGAGTATCTCTATATTCCACTACATAGTGATTTCTAGAATACATTGTTAAGTGAAAAAAGCAAAGTGGAGAAATATGTGTGTGATATTCTGTCATTTATCTATAAAAGGGGAGGAGGTAATACTTATTTTAAGTAATAAATCTATTAAAAAAGCAAACTGGGATAGAATATTGAAATTTTTAAAATGGGCTGGTCAATTAGCTCAGTTGGTTACAGCATGGTACTGGTAACACTAAGACCCAGGATTCAATCTCTATATCAGCCAACTGCCAAAAAAGGAAAATAAAACAAAAGAAATATTTTTTTAAATGGATACCTAAAGCTATAGGGTATGGGAGAAAACAGGGTGATAGAGCAGGTATTAATACTGGAACCTGGTATTTTATTTAAATTATGAAGCAAAATTTAAAAAGAAAATTCTAAAAAATAAAATTGAACAATGAACATAATGGTATGTCTAGGTGGTGGCATAACCACACAGGAAAAAACTATTTCAACATATAGTAATTTGATGGTATGTTCCAAGTGAAATAAACTGAGGACAAAAACAAATGCCAAAAAACAAAGCCTCCCGAAATAAAACTTCAAAATGCTTTCGGTAACCATACTGTTGTTGGAGATGGTATTAACTATACTCAGTCTAATGTATGTATAATAAATAATGAAGCAAATTAGTAAGTCTGTGTTATTTTAATTCTATAGTTCCTGGCAATTAAGTGAGGGAGAGAGGAGATAGTGATACAAAATAAAAGAGGTTAAAAGAGAAACATCTTGGTGCTGATTTTGAACTGGAAACAATGACCAACCTACCAGCAATGAGCACTCTTTGCAATCCATTATAAGGAAGGGGCTCCTTGGAGAAATGGGGATTTCAAACTTTGGGAAGGAAATGTAAAAGATGAGTGCAGAACATTTATAATAGTAGAGCGTAAGAAAGCTTTTAAAGACCACTGTATTTGGTCATGTCCCAAGGATTTAGAAGCCAACTTGAAGAGACTCTCAATGACCAAAGATGGTACAATTTGCTAATTAACAGGGATAATAACTACAGTGAATTGAAACACATCAAATATGTTCAAATGAATGAGCTTCTAATGTCACTTAAACAGCAAAAAAAAAAAAAAAAGTCCGCACTAAAGGCAGCTAGTGAGCCAACTCATTATTTTAAAAACCAGCATATAAAGGGAAAGAATACAGAATATATTGTCTTTCCTATAAAAATTGTACTAGGGGTAATCAAATAGTAGACATGAGGAAGGTTTTTTTGGAACAATAATTCGTATACATGGTTTCTTGGGATCTATAGTTATTTGCCTTTTCTAGCATATCCAAGTCATACTATTCAACTTTAGTTCTGGTCCATAGCCAATTACATTAATATGGTACATTTTTTTATTGAAACATATTGATTGTACATATTTATGGGGTACAGAATATTTCAATCCATGTATAAAATATGTGATAATCAAATCAGGGTAATTAGCATATTCATCATTGTAAAACAATCATTTCTTTGTAATACAAACATTTGATTTCCTCTCTTCTAGCCATTCGATAACATGCAGTAAATTATTGTTAATTATATATGCCTAGCTCACCTGCATATCAGCAGAACTTATTTTTCCTATCTAGCTGTTACTTTGTGTCCATTAACTAGCCTCTTAACTATCTCCCCTCCTACTCCCCTTTCTGCCTCTAGTAGCCTCTTTAGGGAAAAATGTACCTCGATATATGACAGTGAGAATTTTATATGGCCTATATTAGTTTGCTAGGGCTGCCACAAGAAAATACCAGAGACTGGGTGGCTTAAACAAGAGAAATTTATTTTCTCGTTGTCTGGAGCCTAGAAGTCTAAGATCAAGTTGTCAACAGGTTTGGTTTCTTTACAGGTTTTTTTCCTTTTCTGGCAGATGGCTGCCTTCTCGCTGTTTCCTCACATGCTCTCTTTCCTCTCCATGCAAGGGACCCTGGTGTCTCTTCTTGCATCCAAATGTCCTCTTCTTATAAGGACACCAGATAAAAAAGATAGTGGTCAAAAGTTAATACATACTGATTATCTCCTACATGCCAGATACTAAGCTTGATGGATTACTTCAGTTTATTCTTGCAACAAACCTAGGAAATATTATTCCCATTTTATAGAGAAAACTGAAGCTTAGAGGATTAAACAACTTGCTAAGGGCACACACCTTGACAGTGATTGAGGAAGCATTCATAATCCACATCAGTTGACTCCAGAGCCTAAGTACCTAACCTTTAAATATAAATGAAGATAAATGCACAATTGTCTATTTTTTTAATGAAGAGGATATCTGTCTTCTGTTGAGCATGAAAAGTACAGTAAAGAGGGAACAAACTTGAGAACTATGATTACAATTTTGAACAGCCACTGTTGTTTTACAATGGCAAAAAGACTTCCTCAGTTTACATATAAAGAAATCAAGGGTCACAAAGACAAAACAAATTGCCAAAAGATGTAGTACAGTTAGTGGCAGAGTCAGTAACATTCCCATGCCAGAGCACTTTTTATTTCATCTTACATTATTTCCCCCTTAAAAGTGATGGACCATATCTCTAATACATGGGGGGGAAAAGCAAAATGCAGAAAGAGATAAAACTGTGAAGGCTTACTAAGAGAGATTTATAGAGAACTCCCATATTCAGTATTTATTAGCTGGTAAGTTTTTTTTTTTTTTTTTTTTTTTTTTTTTTTTTTTTTTTTTCCGTGTCCGGCAATGGATCGCAACCCTCAGTGTTGCCCCCGTACCGGACCGGGGACTGGCGACGGGATCGCAAGCCTCGGCGTTGCTCCCGCGCCTCGCTCAGCCAGTGAGCGGAAGCTGGTCTGTACGTGGGATCCGAACCCTCAGACGGGAGCGCCGCCGCGCTTCCCAAGCGGCGCACTATCCAGTGCGCCACCGGGCCGGCCCTAGCTGATAAGTTTTGATGTGTGCAAAGAGACAACGAAACTCTTTATGGTGTGGTTACATAGTAATAAGAATAAAACAATTCAATAAAAAAATTTTTTTCAGGATACCTATACTTCCTTGTTAAAGCCTTAAAAGTGATATTTTCTTGAAAGATACCTGCAAATGAAAGGTAGTTGAGAAGACAATGACTATTTCTCAATAAATTTTCTAAAAAATATACATTTTTAGAAAACAATCTTAAGAAAAACTAAGCAAGCAGACTAATTGGAGAACTATATATCATACTCTCCCTATAGAAGAGTAACCCAATTGAGAATTATTGTTAATTTCTAACAATTCATGACTACATAGAGATGGACTAAATTGCTAAATACTAATCCTGAATCATTTGATAATGATCTAGCTGTACTCAAAAGAAAAGGATGGGAGTGGAGAATGTGTACAATTACTGATATTAATACAAAGGACCAAAGACCAAAGAGTGTAGGGAGACAGAAAGAAGATCCGACACTGAAGACTCAATATCTGGATTCCCAAGAACCACTTATTCTCTTTCCTGAGAAGAATAACTTTCATGAATTGAGGTAATATAAGAGTTCATTCATCTCCAACAATGATTTCTATAAAATCTCAGGTCTCTGAAATAGTGTTAGGATAAAACTAAAACAGAACTGGCTTACTCTGCAATATCGAGATATCCACAGGAAGCAGCTGCATGTAGTGGTATCCAGCCTTCATTATCAGGTTGATTAATATTTGCTCCATTTTCTACCAGAAACTTCACCATGTCAACATTGTCATCAATGCAAGCCTAAAAACAAAGTAGAAGGCATGATTGGAAAAAATTTGAATCAACACTCCAAATAATATATCAATAGAATAAAAGTACTACTTTGTACATTTTATAATATTAATATTCTCTGTAAATTAATCTCCTGCTATTTTGATTGTATTGCCATCAAACAGGTCAATGATACTAACTAAAGTATAAGAGTCCTTGCTTAGATACACATACAGTGGTAATGTATGTGAATAGACTGTGGCAAACCAATTAGGAAAACAAGTACATATTAAAATTAAAATAATCAAAACATTGTAATTAAGTACCAATAACATCATTTATAGCAGTTTATTGTAGGGAGGAGGGAAGCACAAAGGAGCTGACAAGATCAAAACTATTTTCAAAATAATTCTAAGATGTTATTTCCCCTTTTCTCTTTGTTGGCATGTGTACTTGAGGGTACAAAAGCACTACTGGTAAAACTGAATGTGCCTGAGCACAAATCAGGGCACTGGCAAAAGCAAAAATAAAAACAACAACAAACAAAAAAACACCTATTAGCAGTCAATTATGAGCTCACGGTATTTTTTTAAAAAAGCTATTTTTATTTATGAACATCCTTGACAAAGTAGTAAACATTATAAATCTTATTAAACCTTGACTCTCGTATACACATCTTTTGAACATTCTGTGGAACAAGGGAAGTGTGCTTTGAAGCACTTCTTCCAAGTATGAGGGTTGTCTTGAGGAAAAAAGCACTTGTGCAACTGAGTTGCAGGCTGAACTAGCCACTTTTTCCATGGAATATTATTTTTACTTAAATGAAAAACTATGGTTAGTCTAACTTTGATATTTTGGCAGGCATTTTCTTGAAAATTAACAAAGTGAGTCTGTCACTACAAGAAAAGCAACTAACAGTATATTTACCAATGATAAATTCAAACTTTCAAGAGGAAATGAATTCTTTATTTTAAAAATGTTATTTCTGTTAACATGGGTAAATTACTGTTATTTTTCAATGAATTAATAAATATTTTAAATCCTCAGTTTTAACCTCTATTATTATAAATATTATTATATACAACCTAAAGAAACAAAAGCTCACTGGGATCTTCAATAATTCTTCAGAGCACAAAGAGATCCTAATACACAAAAATTTTGAAAGCCACAGCCCTATAGCAATAAGGGAACTTTTATCAATGCTTACTTTCTGTCAGGAAGTATAACAGATGCTTTATCTACTTTATTGATTTATATACATTATCCCCAGAAAAACGTTCTCTAAGGTACTCATTATTCCCTATAGTTGTTCCTAAGATCACTATGCTGCAGCCACAGTGGGCCCCTTTCTATTTCTTGAATAGACATCTCAGGGCCTTTGTTCTTGCTGTTCTCACTGTCAGGAATGCTCTGCCCCCAGAACTAGGCATACTGATTCCTTTTTTTCATGCAATTCTTAATGCAGATGTTTCTTCTTCAGAAAGACACTCCTGGACATCCTTTTAAAGTAATTCCTACTACTCTATCACATTATCAAAAACACCTATCTCCGCAATTATCTTACTTATATTTATTTTTTACCTCTACTAGAATGTAATCTCCACAGAAAAGGAAGCTTGTATGTCTCATTCATTGCCAAAAATACATCACCTAGGGCCCAACATGCAGAAAGTTATCTACAAATATGTATTTTTTCAAATGTATTTTTAACTTTTCTCATTTATGTATACTTTTCATCCAGTCAACTTAACTTCCTCACTGTTTTCTATTTATACTCCATGCTCTTTAGCTTTGGTGGCTTTACTCATTTTCACTCATGAAATGTCTGCTCCATAAGACAAAGGAAATATAAATTCTTCCTATTCTTCAAGGTCTAGCACAAATGTCACCCTATCCAAGAAGCTGTCCAGCCAGCTAGAAATAATTTCTCCAATCCCAATATTTGGAGCTTTCCTGACAGCCAATATTTTCCTTATTGTATTATGGCTATTTACATATAAGTTTATATATTATGGTTATTTATATATAAAATCTTAATTTTTTGAATTAAAAAACCAGTTCTCTAAAAGGAACCATTTACTGAAAATGTATTATGTGATGAATACATCAACAACACAACAAAAATAGGATATAAATGGCAGAAAGAAGAGAGTATCACTTATGGAGAAAAACCAAAACAGCTTCTTAAGTGCCGTTTCGACCTAAAAAAGAGAAGTTTGGGGCTGGCTGAACCAGCACTATACATGACCAATGCAAAAATAAGATAAGCTTGTGGCCCCATTTTGCAAATGAAGTTTTTGCTTAAATGTCACCTTTATGGTAAGGCCTTTCCTGGCCACCATATTAAAATTACAACCCTCTACCCTACCATTCTGTATCCTGAGTAACTGCTTTATTATTCTCCATATTATTTATCACTATAACATACTTTGTATTTTGTAATTTATTTACCATCTGTTTACCTGACTACTGGCAGTGAGGGCTTGATGAGAAGAGGAATTTTGTTGTGATCCCAGTACCTTGTACAGTTCTTGAAATGTGGTAGAGGCTTAATAAATAAATGCAGAAAAAAGCTAAGATTCAAAGTGATTAAATAGCCTGAATAAGTCGCACAGGCTAGAAATGATAGAGCTGAGATTCTAACACAGATGTCTCAGATTAAAAAAAATAAGCTCTTTTTAAACTTATACTGCTTTCCAGAGATGTTTAGTTCATCAACATACTTCTCACCTATGTGCAGTCTCTGCAACAGGATATCACACATTCTAGGCAATTAATAAGTATTTGTTGTATAAACGAAATGGATTTTCCCTTATCTACCACAGAAGCAAAAGAAATACTCTTAGTAGCACTTCTCTAAGTAATAAAATGATAAATTTTATGTCAAGAAAAGCACTGTACACCTAAAGTGGAAAAGCACTGAGAAGGTATCACAGCCCTAGGTTCTAGTTCTGGCTCTGCCACAAATTTTGTGGCCATGGACAAGTAATTTAATCTTTTTTGGGCTTTGTTGTCTTCATCTTTCAAGTGAGGGAAAGAAGCTGGGGTTATATATCATTAAAATTCACTACTGTGTTTAAAATTCTTATGTATCCATGATTCTTCCCTCTGCATCAAGATATAAGCAAGAGTCCTTAAGTGTCCAGAACATACCTTACACATAGGAAATAAAAAATTAATATATAAGTAACATTCATATGGACTTTAAGTATATAATGCTTGAGAAAAGAACATAGTGGTTTTTATGGGGTGGTGATTAAAGGAAGAAAGGGTAGAAAAGATTTGAGGACCAAAGATATCTAATAACAAAGAAAAGATGAAACATCAAAAGTCCATTTATTATATTAGAAAGTAGTTTATAAATGTTATATGAGATGAGCTAATAACTCACAGTGACTTGAAATAACATTAGACCTATTCATAAGCATAATCACTAATTTTTCTTGAGAAGAGATGCTGACTAAATTGTATTCTTTTCTCTCAACCTTTTAATTCCCATAGGCTCTCAAACAGTATCATTTTTATTATCAATATAAAATTATAAAACTCTATTCAATAAGTGTATGTAATACAAATATAATTGTTTTTTTAAAATTACGAATAATGTAAAGAAAATAAGAAATGATTCTTTATAAAAGGATATGGAAAATGCCCACAATATATTAACTTTTAATAAAAGGATGCAAAACAGTTTGCCGAATATGATTCCAATTTTACTGAAAAAAGTTCACACAAAAAGGAGTGGGGTTAGGGAGTAATGGGTCAGGTAAAAGGCATAAAGAAAAATTACTATTTGTAATAATGAATATGCTAATATTAAAAAAAAAATAAAAAGACTAAAAGATTATATCCCAAAGTTAAAGTCATTGGTTATGAGACAATAATTTTTATTTTCTTTATTTTCAAAATATCTACAATAAATAGGCAGTGTTTAAATAAAAAAAAAATTAACTTGATTCTTAACTGTAAAGGATTAAATCTATTGTAATGTGAAGAAACAACCAAATTACTGGTGAAAGTGTAAAATTCACACAACCACTTCAGAAAAGCATTCGATAGTATCTACTAAAATTATGTAGAATGGATAAACAATGTGGTGGGGTGTAATATGAGTGTGTGGGGAGATCCTATTCATATAATAGAATCCTATATGTTGACGAAAAAAAGAACATTGAACAAAAAGAACAAAATACTATTTTCAACAACATGGATGAAGTTCACAGACATAAATGAGTGAAAGAAGGCAGATACAAAGGGACACATGCTGTAAGTTTCCAAGTAAAACTAATCTCTGGTGATAAAGCTCAGAACCATGGTTAAATCTGTTGGAGAAGAGGAGACATGATGCAGCTTTCTGGAGGGATGAAAATGTTTCCTATCTCTCTTGGGGTGATTTTTACATAGGGATACACATACATAAAAATTCAATGAATTGTACTCTTAAAAGCTGTGTACTTTATTGTCCGTATATTATACCTCAATTTAAAAAGTAATAGGCTACTATTTACTGAAAGGCTACTGACTATGTATCACTTCCACTGTAATAAACTTTACTTATCTTTCTCTAAATTGTACATGCTAAAATATGTATTCCCTTACCATCTATCCCCTGCCTCTTTGAGCTCCACATATCAAATGGAATTCCTCTTTTAAACATTATGAAAACCTTTTTCCTAAGAATTTTTTCTAAGAATTCTCATATATTCTTTTTTTAGACTAAATATCCCTAATTCCTTTAGCTACCCTTCACTTCATACATACTAAAAATTATATATGCCAAGGCCCTAAGTATACAGGGAAAAAAAAAAGATCACATTATAATATAGGAGGAGATCCCATAAATAATAGTGTTTATATGAGGGCTGTAACAAAAGTGGGTAGAAAGTACTACAATATCATTGAGGACATAAAGAGATCTTTTTGCGACTAAGAGGGTCCATATAGGTCCCAATAAGTATATATTTGAACAAGATTTTGAAGATTATGTAGGGGTTCAACTGGGAACTTAACTGCCAGAAACCTCACTGAGC